CACCCCCCCCCCCCCCAAGAATATACATTTAATATATGCAAATATTAACTACAGAATAAAAAGTTCAAATCTTTTCATCCATTGTATGAATATTTCTTAGTGTGATGATACAACTCAAGGACAGCGAATGTTAATTTTATTAAACAAATTATATTCATGTAGAGTAGAGAAAATATCAGAGATAGAAGTTCAGAAAATTTTTTATTAAAAATCTAACCAGGTATATCTCTAGGTAAAGTGGGGCAAACAAACCATCTCCCACATCCAGGTAACCCTTTGATGAATTTTAAAACTGCTTCTTTACTTGAGATATAATATGATTACGAGATATAATCAAGAAAATGAAATTTTAATTCAAAAGCAAATACAGTTTTTCAAATTTAAACTAAAAAAAAAAGGAACTTGAAAAGGATTCTATGTAGTATTAACTTACTTGAACTTGCATCAGCTCCAGTGAATGCTGAAGGCTCCTTTTCACAGTATTCCCCATAATAGTCTGAAATTTGATCTAATTTATTTAAATACAGAGTGACAAAAATATTGACTTTAAATAAAATAAAAACAAAAATATCACTCCACCATTTCAGATGTAGGCAAGTCATGCTGCATTTTTCTTTAATTATATCAATTCATAAACTTGGGTAGATATCACAAGATAAACAGCCAGTATACAACAGCAAACCCTGGTTTTCCTCAACTCCACAAACTCCATGAATGCATTTTTGATTTGTAAAATCATCAGCTTGGGACCAACTATATTTCCTCTTCCTATTAAAGTCTTCATGTGTTTGCTGTGCTTTGTGATTATTAGAAAAAATCACATTTTCATCTCAATTACAACAACATTTTCAATATTTTGTCCTTGTTTTTCTAACCCAGATACTTACTATTCAAGCACAAACATACAAGCCCACCAGTTTCTGGATATGGCTTACATTTGACACCATTCTTGCAAGGACATGTCAGACTTGGTGTGGGTTTCACCGTCTCCTCAGCTAAAAAATACAATAGACAATTAAATTGAATCTATTATGTAAAAGCTCCAAAAAAATTTGACCTAGTACAGCTGTGATGCTATACTTTAGAACAAAAATATTGTTCTTTTAATAGTAAAAAAATTAATGAAAGATTGTTTTTTATTATTACTGGGTAAAAGCTAAATAACCCTACTAAATTAATCAAATCAATGGATTGTGTATCATTTCCCTAGAAAGAGATAAAGTAGTAACTATATCATGTCTCAAAAGAGAAAATTACACACATGGTGTTTGTAGTTGAGATGTGAGCCCTGTTGTATGTTCTGTCCGATTCTGTCAGAGGATTTGATTTTGGTGTCATCAGATATGGGTGCAGAGGATAGCCAGAATCCCTCCAGGAGGAATCCTGGAATATCCTCTGTGTTCATACTCTCAAAACGTTGGCAAACACCACTGTTGTTGGTACTGCCTGGCCACCTGCAGACTACATCAGTCAATCTTTAAAAAAAAATTAAATAAATAAATAAATAAAACACAATTAAAATGGATTAATGTTTAACAATAGCATAGTTACATACTAAAGTCATAATTTTCTGTATTTTCAAAATGAAAAATGTTTTTCAAAAATGAAACAATTATCTCTGAATGATAATTAAATTTTCNNAAGATGAAGCTATACACATACAATATATGCAAAATACTGAAAACTTCAAAGTTCCAAATCTTCTGTCTTTTGTCTCAACTGAGTATCCAATTTCAACCCTCAAATCTTTTACTGACCACATTTCTATACAATAAGTGACTATGTTTACCCCATTCTGTGCCACAGAGCTGTCATATACAAAGTCTGGCATACTGATGGCCACAACATTTCCTCCATGGAAAGTCACCATTCCAGCAGGTGCCCCAGTCTGAACTCGCCCCCAGCCACTGGAATGCAGGGCCTTGCTCATACTGAAATTATAGCAACAACTATTTCAATATGCAGGGAATAGTTTGATATCATTATAGATTAAGATGTAGACAGTATCAGGACTATCCCCCCCCTGAAGAATATACATTTAATATATGCAAATATTAACTACAGAATAAAAAGTTCAAATCTTTTCATCCATTGTATGAATATTTCTTAGTGTGATGATACAACTCAAGGACAGCGAATGTTAATTTTATTAAACAAATTATATTCATGTAGAGTAGAGAAAATATCAGAGATAGAAGTTCAGAAAATTTTTTATTAAAAATCTAACCAGAGTATATCTCTAGGTAAAGTGGGGCAAACAAACCATCTCCCACATCCAGGTAACCCTTTGATGAATTTTAAAACTGCTTCTTTACTTGAGATATAATATGATTACGAGATATAATCAAGAAAATGAAATTTTAATTCAAAAGCAAATACAGTTTTTCAAATTTAAACTAAAAAAAAAAGGAACTTGAAAAGGATTCTATGTAGTATTAACTTACTTGAACTTGCATCAGCTCCAGTGAATGCTGAAGGCTCCTTTTCACAGTATTCCCCATAATAGTCTGAAATTTGATCTAATTTATTTAAATACAGAGTGACAAAAATATTGACTTTAAATAAAATAAAAACAAAAATATCACTCCACCATTTCAGATGTAGGCAAGTCATGCTGCATTTTTCTTTAATTATATCAATTCATAAACTTGGGTAGATATCACAAGATAAACAGCCAGTATACAACAGCAAACCCTGGTTTTCCTCAACTCCACAAACTCCATGAATGTATTTTTGATTTGTAAAATCATCAGCTTGGCACAAACTATATTTCCTCTTCCTATTAAAGTCTTCATGTGTTTGCTGTGCTTTGTGATTCTTGACACAAATCACATTTTATCTCAATTACAACAACATTTTCAATATTTTATCATTGTTTTTCTAACCCAGATACTTACCATTCAAGCACAAACACACCAGCCCACCAGTTTCTGGATCTGGCTTACATTTGACACCATTCTTGCAAGGACATGTCTGACTTGGTGTGGGTTTTACTGTCTCCTCAGCTGAAAAATACAATAGACAATTAAATTGAATCTATTATGTAAAAGCTCCCCAAAAAAATTGACCTAGTACGGCTGTCCTGCTGTATTTTAGAACAAAAACATTGTTGTTTTAATAGTAAAAAATTAATGAAAAAATATTTTTATTATTACCGGGTAAAAGCTAAATAACCCTACTTAATGAATCAAATCAATGGATTGTGTATCATTTCTCAAGAAAGAGAAAGACGTAACAAAAGTAGTAACTGTATCATGTCTCAAAAGAGAAAATCACACACATGGTGTTTGTAGTTGAGATGTGAGCCTTGTTGTATGTTATGTTCGGCTCTGTCAGAGGGTTTGTTTTTGGTGTCATCAGATATGGGCGCAGAGGATAGCCAGAATCCCCCCCAGGAGGAATCCTGGAATATCCTCTCAATCTGTGTCCATACCCTCAAAATGTTGGCCAATACCACTGTTGTTGAAAATGAAAATGTCATGGGTACTGCCTGGCCACCTGCAGACTACATCAGTAAATCTGAAAAAATAAAAATAAAAATAAAATAAAAATAAATAAATAAAACCCAATTAAAATGAATTAACATTTTACAATAGCATAGTTACATACTAAAGTCATAATTTTCTGTATTTTCAAAATGAAAAAAAAGTTTTTCAAAAATGAAACAATTATCTCTGAATGAGAATTAAATTTTCATGTCCCTGCACTTGGAGGATATACTAGAGATATTATTTCTAAAAAATATTTCTAGTTCTAATAAAATTATAAATTGCATTTGAATGATTTCTTCTTTCAATGTTGAAGACTTTTTTACAAAACTGCAAAATCTTTTTTTTTTATTCACAGCAACCAACAACAATTGCAGTAGTTGTGATTGCTATACGTGACTCAATTAGGTGTGTTTACATCATGATGATATCATTATATATATTTATATATATTTTGACCTTTTACTGTAAGAAAGAAATGATAAATCAAAAACATGTATTTACATAAGCTGGGCATTGTAAATCGCCTGCACATTAATGGCATGAAAACCTTTACAACAGACGTAGGAGTTTTCAACGTCAGCCGTAGGGGATATAATGGCAATCATAGTGCCAACCACACATCCCAGCACTCTTGGGAATCTGGCGATGGCGTGAAAGTCATGCTGTGTTCTGTGCACCTTGGCCTGTTCACTTGGAAAATGTACAGACAAAGAGTGAGCACCTCCTCATTCTCCAGAGTCAATCTAAACATGAATAATGACTGTCCTTATTTTTCATGTACAAATATGATAAAGGAAATGACCAATTTGGCATATTCAGCAATAACAGCAATCAGCAGTTGGAGACATATTACGCTCAATGGCCATTGAAAATACAAGATGGAAAATATTATGTATATTTACGATACTTCACAATATTTTCTGTTACTTGGTTAATAAATTTATTTAGTAAAAGAAAATGAAAATTTACCACTTGTCTCCATCCCTCCTACCAAACTGTCATACGCTGGAGTTCCAGCATATATGTTAACTATTCTGTTGTTTTTGATCAGACTTAGTCCCTGGGGTGGTGGAACCCCTCCAGTTAGGTGTCTGGACTTCTTAAGTTTGCTATGAGACTTCTTAACAGACAAACAAGGTGCCTTCAGTTATCAGGGCACTCTGCTGAACTTCTCGTTGATATGGCAACTGATGATATTTCATTTGCTATGGCCTTCCACACTTCCTCCATGTTGTCCAAGGTGGAAGTGTGTGTGTTCCTTATCACTGCATGTTTCTCGCATAATTCTATTAAAAGTGATGTTTCTGCTTGTGTCCAGTTTGCCTTTCTCTGCCTCTTGTTTGCTGAAGCAGGTTCCATCCTGCAAGACAGAGAAGCAGACGACAGATGGCACCAGAACAAAGGGGTATTGTCGGTAATTTAATTCTCAAATATGGTATAGATCACTTATGATGTTAACAACTATCATGGCTTTTACAATGTTTATAGCAACCAGTATAAAGTTTTTTATCTAATCATTCTACCTCTGTGAAATCTCAAAGGATTTACTGCCAAACCAAGCAGGTTCGCCATTTTGGATGATTTAACAGGATGATAACAGATTTATCCCACCTATTTCGAGTAAACAAATTAAATTTATCCTCTGATTTATTCCCTGAATAACGCTATCCACTGTTGATGAAACGCACTATTCTATGGATAGCACTATCCAGAGGATAGCTACCATTTTTATCCATAGGATAGCACTATTCAACCTTGATGAAACCGGGCCCTACAGTTTCAATATTCTAGAAAACACACATCAATAGTATCACATAAAGCTACTACAAATGAACTTTTGGTTCACTCACAAACTTTACAATTTATAAGAACTGACCTAGTTTTCTCCGGACTTTGACAGTGTATGGCCTCCAATCAGCAGTTGGAGACACGTTACGCTCAGTGGCCTTTGTAAGAGTTGTATTTTTCAGATGTTCTGACTCCTGATATGACCAACTGTCTGTTGCTGCCATCAAGGTTGGCATACCTGAAATGTAATGTATGTATCTATTAGATTTCATGTCATTTCATATATATTAAATGGAACAAGAAAAACTACAGAACCTGCAGTGAACTGTTTATGTCTCCGTTACAAGAAGATCAACTTTACAACCTCCAGACCTGCTTGGGTGTGGTGCAGGTAATAACCTGTGACAGTACCATACACCAAATATGGTTATATTTGTCAACTGAAGATGTAAAAAATATAATACATTTTATCAAAAAAAAAAAAAAAGAAAATAAATCAATATATATAAACAAATATTAGTTTCACCACATTTTTCCAATCGTTAAATTTATGGGAGTATTCCATCACATTTTCCTAGAAAATCAATAACTCAAAGCTGATACTAACTCAATGTAATCCAGATGTGCATCAACCCACCACATCTTCCTGGTGACATAGTCTATGGTCAAGGAATTAGGCCAGCCCAGTTTCTCTGTGATCACAGATGACCAGTTGGTGACGTCAATTCCATGGAGTCAGCAATGTAAGCAGGGGCGTAACCAGGCATACGCACGGATGCACTGTGCGTACAATTTTTTGAGCCAACCATGATATTATTCTCCATAAATTCAGTGTATTTTTCACGGAATATAATCATACCTGGGAATTTTCAAAATCTGTGCGTACAATTTTAAATGGTCTGGTTACGCCCCTGATGTAAGGGATATGACCCCAGTCTGTCCAGTAAATATATATCTGGAATTAAATGCTTAGCATATCATACATAATTTAAATTAGTAATTTAAATCAACTGCTAATATCAAACATGAGTATTAGTCACTGACTTTTTTATCGCACCGATATTATTATTATAAATATCTATTTTATGAATTTTTTAAGTTATTTTTTTAAGCAATTGGATCATAATTCCATTTATCTTTATTATGGTAAAAAACAAAATGAGAGGAATAAATCAGTATTGCAAATAACCTTGTCCAAAGAATAATAATAATAATGATAAAAATAATAAATGATGAATTCAAACTACTCTGCTTAGATATGCCTAGAATCAGTGTATCTGATAAAGTAGAGAAGACTAGTACCCCATTCACATTGCCATCTGAAAAATCTGGATATTTCAAATTCAAATTTTTGGTAAAAATCAGATTCGCTTTGCGTGTGTGGACAAGCAAGCTGAATCCCACGCTGAAAAATTCCAGGTTTAACTTCCTGTTTTGAACACTCATGGCACATGGGCCACAGGAAAACTAATAATGCAAAACAAAATATGCCACCATTTATTTATTGTACTTAGCTTTTGCCTCTGTTTTAATTCCTGACAGCAAGTGCAAGTCAAAAGAAATTCCAGCTTTCTTGAAACATATCAGATGGAAACATAAGTTTATGTTTTCCCATGTTGTAGTGAGCACTGACCTCCAGATACATTTGGTGCAATCACTGAAGTGATGAAGAAGTGTTCATAGATACCCACACTGGCTGCACACCCTGGGAGTCTCTTCACATTGATTGATATCTGCAACAGAAATAAAAATATCTTACTGAAGGCTATTTGTATACAGCATCAAATGCAATTTGCACTTGATTTTATGAGATGGGTTTATATAATCTGAGATAAGCTGAACAGTTGACTGTGTCTAATGAAAAGTGTTTTGGGGGACAAATTTGGGAAAACTAAAAATTGCATTGAAGAGGCTGGAAAATCCCAGGCCTTAAAATAGTAAAACGATAATAATTTTGTCAAATCTTGTCCAATATTTATGAAATTTGTACAAATGATGCTAACCAACAATAAAAATCTTGGATAAGCTGATCAGTTGACTGTGTCTAATAAAAAGTCTCAACTTCGGATGATATATTTGAGAAAACTGAATATTATACTGAAAATTAACACTGCAAAATTCCATGACTTAAAATTCATAGTTAAATGTTAATAATTTTGCCAAATCTTGTCAAATATTTCAGAAATCTGTGCAAATAATGCTTTACAACATTAAAAATCTGTGATAAACTGATCAGTTGTCTGTTTTTTTTAAGTTCAAGTTTATGGGAAATTGATCATCAGAAGAGTTGTCTGTATCTAATGAAAAGTGTTTTTAAGACAATATATTTGGGAGAACTAAAAAAGTTACATTGAAAAGACTGGGAAATCGCAGGATTTACAATAGTTAAACGTTAATAATTCTGTCAAATTTTGTTCAATATTTCTGAAATTTGTACAAATGATGCTTAACAACAATAAAAATCTGTGATAATCCTGATCAGTTGTCTGTATCTACTGAAATGTATATTTAGGACAAGATATTTGGGAAAACTAAAAATTACATTGAATAGACTGGAAAATCACAGACCTTAAAATAGTTAAATGTTAATAATTTTGTCAAATCTAGATCATTATTTCTTTTATTTGTACAAATGATGCTTAACAACAATAAAAATCTGTGATAAGCTGATCAGTTGTCTGTGTCTTTTTCTAAGTGTCAAGTTTATGGGAAATTGATCATCAGAAGAGTGAGAATTAACCAAAACAAATATTTCCATATTGCAATATATTATTTATTCTGAAAGAAAACAGCAAATGTGATTGAGGTTGTTGATGATTTGAAGTTGTTTTTGTAGGAGTTGCAAATTACCTTTAACTGTCATCTGAAAAACAATATATACCCATACAAGACATCTCCTTACTACCAATGCCAGATGCAGATTACTCCTTACAATGGGTTTCTGGAAGGGGTTGTTGTTATCACATTATTTAACAATGTCCTAAGTCTTGCCAAATATCATGTATTGTACACATAGATAAGACATAGTGCTGCTCTTGGTACTGTCTTTCACTGCCTGCTTTTTCATTGTAAGGTTACTCTGGAACAAGAACAATATAACTGAGAGAACTGAAAATTACATTGAAAAGACTGGCAAATTCAATGATTTAAAATAGTTAAACATTAATAATTTTGTCAAATCTTGTCCAATGTTTCTTAAATTTAAACAAATGATGCTTAACAACAATAAAAATCTGTGATAAGCTAATCAGTTGACTGTGTCCAATGAAAAGTGTTTTTTGGGACAATGTATTTGGGAAAACTAAAAAATTACATTGAAAAGAATGGCAAATTCAATGATTTTAAATGTATAATATTAATAACTTTGATAGAATTTATCCAATATTTCTGAAATTTGTACAAAAAAATGCTTAACAACAATAAAAATCTGTGATAAGCTGATCAGTTGACTGTGACTAATGAAAAGTGTTTTTTGGGACAATATATTTGGGGAAAACTGAAAATTACATTGAAAAGACTGGCAAATTAAATTATTTAAATTAGTTAAACATTAATATTTTGTTAAATCTTGTCCAATGTTTATGACATTTGTACAAATGATGATTAACAAGAATGAAAATCTGTCATAAGCTGATCAGTTGACTGTGACTAAAGAAAAGCTTTTTTTGGGAACAATATATTTAGGAAAACTGAAAATTGCATTGAAAAGATTGGCAAATCGCAGTCCCTAAAATAGTTAAACATTAATAATTTTGTCAAATCTTGTCCAATGTTTATGAAATTTGTACAAATGATAAATAACAACAATAACAATCTGTGATAAGCTGACCAGCTGTCTCTGTTATTTTTTAAGTGCCAAGTTTATAGGAAATTCATCATCAGAAGAGTGAGAATTAACCAAGACAAATATTTCAATATTGCAATGTATTACTTACTCTAAAAGAAAACGGCAAATGTGATTTGAGGTTGTTTGTGTAAGAGGTTGCAAATTACCTATAACTGTCATCTGGATAACAATATATACCTATACAAAACTTCTCCTTACTACCAATGCCAGATGCAGATTACTCCTTACAATGGGTTTCTGGGAGTGGTTGTTGTTATCACATTATTTGACAATGTCCTAAATGTTGCCAAATATCATGTATTGTACAAATAGATTAGACATAGTGCTGCTCTTGGTGCTGTCTTTCACTCCTTCTTTTTTCATGGTAAGGGTACTCTGGAAAAAAATATAACTGAGAGAACTGAAAATTACATTGAAAAGACTGGCAAATTCAATGACTTAAAATAGTTAAACATTAATAATTTTGATTAAATTTGGTCCAATATTTGTGAATTTTGTACAAATAATGCTTAACAACAATAAAAATCTGTGATAAGCTGATCAGTTAACTATGTTTAATGAAAAGTGTTTTTTAGGACAATATATTTGGGGAAAACTGAAAATTTCATTGAAAAGACTGGCAAATCGCAGGCCTTTAAATAGTTAAAGATTAATAATTTTGTCAAATCTTGGCCAATATTACTTAAATTTGTACAAATGATGCTTAACAAGAATAAAAATCTGTGATAAGCTGATAAGTTGACTGTGTTTAATGAAAAGTGCTGTTAAGGACAATATATTTCGGAAAACTGAAAATTTCATTGAAAAGAATGGCAAATCACAGGCCTTAAAATAGTTAAACATTAATAATTTTGTCAAATATTGTTCAATATTTCTGAAATTTGTACAAATGATGGTCAACAACAATACAAATCTGTGATAAGCTGATCAGTTGACTTTGTCTAATGAAAAGTGTTTTTAGGACAATATATTTTGAGAAACTGAAAACTGCATTGAAAAGACTGGCAAATCGCAAGGTTTAAAATAGTTAAACCTTAATAATTTTGTCAAATCTTGGCCAATATTTCTGAAATTTGTACAGATGATGCTTAACAACAATGAAAATCTGTGATAAGCTGATCAACTGTTTATGTTTTTTTTAATTGTCAAGTTTATAGGAAATTCATCATAATAAAGAGTGAGAATTAAGCAAAAAAAAATTTCAATTTTGCAATGTATTATTTACTCTGAAAGAAAACAGGAAATGTGATGCTTTGAGGTTGTTTGTGTAAGAGGTTGCAAATTACCTACAACTGTCATTTGGAAAACAATATATACCCATACAAGACTTCTCCTTACTACCAATGCCAGATGCAGATTACTCCTTACAATGGGTTTCTGGAAGGGGTTGTTGTTATCACATTATTTGACAATGTCCTAAATGTTGCCAAATATCATGTATTGTACACATGGATAAGACAAAGTGCTGCTCTTGGTGCTATCTTTCACTGCCTGCTTTTTCATTGTAAGGTTACTCTGGAAAAAGAAATAATATAACTGAGAAAACTGAAAATTGCATTGAAAAGACTGGCAAATCGCAGGCCTTAAAATAGTTCAACATTAATAATTTTATCAAATCTTGGCCAATATTACTAAAATTTGTACAAATGATGATTAACAAGAATAAAAATCTGTGATAAGCTGATCAGTTGACTGTGATTAATGAAAAAAATTGTCTTCGGATGATAAATGTGAGAAAACTGAAAGTTACACTGAAAATTAACAATGCAAAATTCCATGACTGAAAATAGTTAAACATTAAGAATTAAAAAAAAAATTGTCCAATGTTTCTGAAATCTGTACAAATGATTTTTAACAACAATAAAAATCTGTGATAAGCTGATAAGTTGTCTGTGTCGTTTTGTAATGGTAAAGTTAATGGGAAATTGATCATCAGAAGAGTGACAATTAACCAAAACAAATATTTCAATATTGCAATGTATTATTTACTCTGAAAGAAAACAGCAAATGTGATGATTTGAGGTTGTTTGTGTAGGAAGTTGCTAGTTACCTAAACTGTTGTCTGGAAAACAATATATACCCTTAAATGACTTTTCCTTACTACCAATGCCAGATGCAGATTACTCATTTCAATGGGATTCTGGAAGGGGTTGTTGTTATCACAATATCTGACAATGTCCTAAATCCTGCCAAATATCATGTACTGTACACATGGATAAGACATAGTGCTGCTCTTGGTGCTGTCTTTCACTGCCTGCTTTTTCATGGTAAGGGTAAATCTGGAAAAAGAACAATATAACTGAAAGAACTGAAAATAACATTGAAAAGACTGGCAAATTCAGTGACTTAAAATAGTTAAACATTAATAATTTTGTCAAATCTGGTCTAATATTTGTGAAATTTGTATAAATGATCCTTACAACAATAAAAATCTGTGATAAGCTGATCAGTTGACTGTATCTAATGAAAAGTGCTTTTGAGGATAATATATTTGGGAAAACTAAATATTACATAGAAAAGACTGGGAAATCGCAGGACTTAAAATAGTTAAACGCTAATAATTTTGTCAAAAATGTTCCAATATTTCTGAAATTTGTACAAATGATGCTTAACAACAAAAAAAATATGTGATAAGCTGATAAGTTGACTGTATCTAATGAAAAGTGTTTTTGAGGATTATATATTTGGGGAAACTAAAAATTACATTGAAAAGGCTAGATAATCGCAGGACTTAAAATAGTTAAACACTAATAATTTTGTGAAAAATTGTGTTACATTGTGGCAGTATAGTCCTGTGTCTCCTAGTGCAGTGTAGTAGTCTGGAGTCATTGTGTTCCAATGTGGCAGTATAGTCCTGTGTCTCCTAGTATAGTGTAGTAGTCTGGAGTCATTGTGTTCCATTGTGGCAGTATAGTCCTGTGTCCCCTAGTACNTGGAGTCATTGTGTTCCATTGTGGCAGTATAGTCCTGTGCTTCCTAGTATAGTGTAGTAGTCTGGAGTCATTGTGTTCCATTGTGGCAGTATAGTCCTGTATCTCCTAGTACACTGTAGTAGTCTGGAGTCATTAAGTTCTATTGTGGCAGTATAGGCTTGTGCTTCCTAGTATAGTGTAGTAGTCTGGAGTCATTGTGCTCCATAGTGGCAGTATGGTCCTGTGCTTCCTAGTATAGTGTAGTAGTCTGGAGTCATTGTGTTCCATTGTGGCAGTATAGTCCTGTGTCTTCTAGCACAGTGCAGTAGTCTGGAGTCATTGTGTTCCACTGTGGCAGTGATTTCTGTTCTTCTTAGGTCAGTGAAGTAGACTTAAGTCATATGATGGACTGGAAGAGACAAAAAAACTCAAGAAGATCCAGAGTCTGAGAGTAATGACATTTTATTAGTTTTGTTCAACAAATAAACCGTGAGGGAATGAGTAAAAAATTAGTATTGTTGTTAGTTACAGCCGGAGGCATACACTATACTAGTGCTGGTAATACAGAAGACGTGGATTTCCACTGGTGTCTGAAGCTCGGGACGGTAGTACTAATACACGTAAGTGATCACTCCACAGTCAAGTCATTACTATTTCGTCAGATGACTCAAGAAGAACAGTTATTAAGTAGGAAATTGTATTTATAATAGAAGACAACGTCAGTTGTGCTCTGATTTATAATAATCTCACCTTTACATGCCATCGCAAAATGTTGCATCATTACAGATGAAAAAGTTGAAGTGGATGACGGCATTCAATCTTGTCTGTTTTCCAAAAGCACTTACGGTCTATAAAACTTGCTAATATCGTCACATTGTGACAAGCACATTGCATCGTGATGTGAACAGTGAACAACTGACACAGTCCATACAAATAATTCTTATTATGTCCATGATGTATCCTTCATTTCAGATGTTTTATCCTGACCTCATAGGTGAAGTTTTGCAATAGACACTATGACAGAACCATTTAAGAATGCCCTGACAGAGGATGACACTCATTGTGCAGAAAGTTTGATGAAATTTTCGGCATTATCACTGACGCCATGTTAACATTGAGTATAGATGGCGCTGTGCAAGAGGTGAGACTTTGGGTTTACACCATTGACCTCAACCGATATGAGTCAGAGGTTCATCGCCTGCTTCCCAAAAAACCCGTGCAAGGATGGAGGCATTAAGCATCTTACACAGGATATGTTCAGGTTCCATGTGCATGTGATATATTGTGATTTGTAAAGCAGAGAGTGTCATGTCGAGACCGTCAAAATAGCGCCATTCCGATTGGTTTAAAGTTAAGGAACAATACAGGAGCCGTCCAATCAAATTTCTTTATACAGTAATTATTCCTGTTTATTGCTTTAGTAAACATAGCAAAGAGATAATCTTGCACAATCGCTGGTAAGTTATATTTTTGTTCAAAATTGACCATGAAAGTTTGTATCCAGGTTATGGAGAATTTCTTGTTACACAACGTTAATTTTTTGCTGATCATCGCAATATAATGGTGTGTATCACTACAAAAGAAAGATATTGGAACTTGTTAATGTATGATTTGATTTATTTCTTGCAGATGTCAGTTGATATGGAAACTGAAAATAATAAAGAAGAACAGCGTGCTCGTAAGTTTTGTGTGTGTGTGTGTGTGTGTGTGTGTGCATGCACGAGAAGTCATTAATATATAATCAGGCTGTACACTGTGTGAGTCATAGACTGAGTTCCCATACCTAGATCTATCTAACAGGACCGATCCATCTCCAAGGGGTTTCTCCCTAAATTGCTTTCAGCTTAAGCGTCTTAGATGTCTGCCACACCTACTGAAGGTGCTAAATGATTATTAATAACCCCCTAGCAGCTTCTGACACACATCTAAGCTGCTTAAGTTGATTGCAATTTAGGGAAAAACCCTTTGGAGATGGATTGATCCTATATAAGATAGATCTAGGTATGGGGACCAAGTCTAATACATGTTCTACCAAATCAATACATTGTCCTAAAGTGCTCTAGCTTGCGTACTTTTAAATGTTCTTATATAAATGAAAAAGAAATTGACTTATTTTTTCATAATAAGAATGCAATATATCCCTTTCTTTTTTTATATTTAGTGAGTGATTTGAATGTCTGCAATTACAACATCAAAAAGTTATATTGACAAGATTTCTTTCTATTTTATTTTTAACAGCCATGGCCACTGTTCGAATAGTTTTGAAGGAGAATATCTTAAAAGCCAAAATAGTGGGCAGAGGAACTGCCCTTGGAACATGGGACACCCAACGTGGTGTAAACCTTGCTAGGTGCACCGAGTTGGGTGTCCCTGTTCTGAGGGCGGAAGTTCTTCTGCCCAAGGCTGCAAATATAGAGTGGAAGTTTGTTAGACCGCAAAATGTAAGTATAATATATTAATTTATTTGTAATGACAAATGAACTGAGATGAAAATAATTTTCCTTTTTATTGAAAAAGAAAATGTAAGTTCAACAAATTTAAGTGCTTTTTTTTTTAGCTTCATTCATTTCTTGTAGATTACAATGTATTTGATTACTCAAATTTTAAATATATGTATCATTTGAATATTCTTTTTCATTTCAGACAATAACTTATCTTCAATTAATTTATTTATTTATTTATTTATTTATTCAGCCTTACCACCCTGGGTCTGGCTGGATATGGGAGCCTGAACCCTTTAGGAACAGGTGCCTTCAAGTGACCACCAAGGACAGCATGGAAGTGATCTGTACATGGGGAGAACTGGACATGGAAATAAAAGGTCTTGTAATTCTATTAAATCTAACTAATGGAAAGAAAAAGTGAATTAACATTATTATTCTATAAATGTAAGATATGGAAAGAAATGGTCCTTTAATTCTATCAAATGAAATTTAGACTATTTCATTCTCAATGTCTATATCATAATTTGTGAATAACAAAAAAAATGCATGCATCTTATTCCAGAGTCTAACTACACATATGAACCTGAAGTCCACACCAGTGGTAAGCAAATTGCAGGTAATAATTCAATTGATTTAAGTAATTCACTTGGTGTGTTTGTTCATTTTCACTATTTGCAAGGAATCTTGAAGTAAAATTATCATTGTATTTGTAATCTTGTTTTTGACTACAAACACCTTAACTCTCAGGGTGCAAGTCTTGACCCTTGTAGCTGTTGATTACCAGGAACCATTCACAATGAATTTGGTCAATTTTGTCTACCTAGCTAATGTGCACTAACTCCATGGAAACACTAGAATGCAATCAGATTAATTAAAAAATATAACTGACTAACACATCCCCTCTTGTTTCTCACTTACCTGTAATTAGTATATTAACCTTCCTTTCTATATAATAGTACTGAATGTCTTTTTTTTTTGTTAAGCTTAGATGAAGCACAAAGTAGGCCTGTATGCATTATCTTTTCAATATTGTACTGAATGCCGTAATGTAATGTAACATGTTAAGGTTAGGTAAAACATAAATTGTATTCCCTTTCATTTTAATTTTTCTGTTTCAGTTGTTACCAAGGAACTGAAGGATGATAACAGAGTAAAGGCTCCTAACACTGAAGACACAGGTAAGACAGAAATCTCAGTAAAATATTTATTATTTTAATACACGTATGAAATCTACACATGTGCACACTTGCACACACACTCTTTATTTTCAGAAAAATCAATGCTGTAATTTACTGTGTAAAGATTGAACACGATTTGCACTCCTTTAAATTTGCTTCTGTTCTTTCAGTTGATACCAAAGACAATAAATATGCAACAGTTGTTAAAACTCTAAGTATTGAGGAGATAGGTAAGACCAGAAACTCAGTAATGCACATGCGTCCACATGCACAAACATGCACTCTCGCACAGTACACGCACACCATGCTGCTTATCCAAAGTCTTATCTTTAGCATACTTAAGAAGATCTAAATTTACTTTAAATGAATTATGTTTTTGAATGCGTTTTCACCAATGTAATTCCGTATTTGTGCCCGAATTCTGTTTGAACATGGATTTTGTTTCATTTGGTTTCCATTCCATATTTTTTGCTTCAGCCGACATTAAAGACGCAAACAGTGTATCACTTGCTGAGGATATCAAGAACAGAGGTAAGAAAGTTAGGTCCATTTAAACACACCCAAAAAGTTTAGACACAAACACACACACACACACACACAGAGAGAGAAGCAGGCTCTCATACACAGTCATTGTGTTAATTCACTGTTGGGTGATCTTATTCATTATTGTATCTTTGTCTATGTATGATATCCTTGTTGTGCTCATGGACAGAATTATTTTGTTTTCCATTTTTTTCTTCAGTTGATGTCAAAGACACAAAAACTGTGATGGAGGACGTGAAGGAGAGAGGTAAGACGACAGTCTATTTAATAGGTATCTACTTATTACAGTGTTAAAATGTGATTGTGTATGCACTTGCATGCACACACACACACACACACACACACACTCCTTATGTTGTGCAAACAGTTAGTATTTGTTCTTTTGACAAGTATTAATTGAAATTCAAAATTTGATTATTCTTAACAGTGTTAAATGTGTTTTAATGTTGATTTATTTATGAAATAAGATGGTGCACAGACTGTATATTGAACGTTATAATATATATTATAGCATTTTACGGAGTAATGTTTTGTCATATATTTCAGCACCCAAGGATCGCCGTCCTTCACGGTGGCGGAGATTATTTAATCTTTTTACGTCCTGCTTTAGGCGCAGGTCAAGGACGTAAATGGTTATTATTATTATTCATTATTATTATTAATAAAAATTATCACTTCAAACCTTCAGAAATTAGGAAAATTTGACATCATTTTCAAAAGAACAGATTAATTTTACTGTCATATGAAAGTTTTGTTTGCTTCCTTCTTTGGATGGCATCATAGCTAAGTTGAAGTTTTTAAGAGGCAAACTATGTCAAACAACTGGTAAAAAATGTATTTTAATGGCAGTTATTATATGATAGCAGCCAAGAGCTGGTGGTTGTTGGATTGCTGCCTTTTAATAACTAATACGTTTTAAGTGAATTATATTTTAATGTTTTTATCTTATTTTTCAGGGAGGAGTGTGCAGAACTACTAGAGAATTTTTACCTCTGTGGCAGTCAATTAAAAAACTTCAGTATATCATTCTCTTAGTTTTACAATAAAAATGCAATTTTCTGTAATCAAATGAGTTTTATTTTTCCTTCTTTTCTAAATTAAAAAGTTTAAGTTAGCATTATTATAGCCATTCTTATTTTAAGTTCCAAAGGGTTTTTTTTTTACTGAAAAGTTGCCTTTTTTTACGGGCCATTCCATGGTATTTTTTTGCTGTTACGGAAGGACATTTGACACTTCAAATGAAAATATTTTCAAAAGTAAAAAAAGTTACAAGGTCCATTTTTTGTATGTTTATTCTTCTATATGTAAAGTTATAATTAGGCAAAAAATTATAGTTACGAAAAAATTATAATGGATAGTTAGCGTCTCGGAAAGACGTGAAATGGACATGGAATTTTAACTTTCAACTTCAACACTAAAATTCTGCCCTGTCTGTGTAGATATTTTTAAAGTCAAATCAAAATGTGAATGTTTGATTATTTCACTTTTTCAATGTATAAAAATTTTTTGGGGAATAAAAAATAAATTAAAAAATTTTGCATATAAAAACATCAAGTAGGCGTCATGGAAGGACGCGCCTTGGGAGGACATTTTGTCCATTGCTAAATAAAATGTAAAATGAGGCTAATAATAATATTTTATGAATACATATCAGCATAAGTTTGATGAATAATATCAAAGGTAAACATGTCCTTCCATGGTAATATATTTCATCTTCAAACATGTTACTATTTTTGACTATAATATAAGTTTTCATCTGCTCTGATCATATTTAAATTATATTAGGACATTTTTTAGAGAAAATCTTACCAAATCTATTAATTATAAATATAATCAATTGTCTAAATTATAATAACTTCAAAATTATTCATTCAAATGAAATGTTTCTCAGTTTAAAAATGCTTCTATATATAATAATTGTGAATTTTAAGTTCAAGATTATCTTGAAAGACATAAGGGTTTAGGGCTCATTGGTCACATGACCTGTTATTGTCCAATCAAAATGCCTCATACGTGCTTCCACTGTGCTAGGTGTCATGTTTAATGCTCATATATTTGGATTTAATTTCTTATTGAAGTGGTTCTAAGCAAAAATGTTTTCGTATTTTGTTGGCCCCTGTCATGGTTGAGGAGAATATGAAGTTATAAGTTTTTACCTTTTGTAGTTACTGAGAAAACTTAAAAAATAGGTACCAAAATCGTCACGGAACGACAAGTTGATATTAATTAATCCGTTATTTTATAATCAAATATTTTTTAATCTTATGCACTTGACTAAATGTAAGATATAAGTTATATTTTATGTATTTAGCCTTTATTGTTTAAAATGATCTCTATTATGAACA